TCTTGAGATCAAAAGCCGGCCTATAAGAAGGTTTTGGTTCTGGGTGTACTTTAGTTTTGTACAATGATACAGAGACGATTGGAATATCAAAATACACAAAAGAAACGTCTGGAACCAATCAAATGCCTTAATAGCATAATTTGCTATCATTTTTTCATTAACTAATGGAACAAAGGCTACAATGTTGTTCACGGTATGAGGCATTAGCAAATAAAATCAGACAGCTTTAAAATTGTGACCTGTCTGTGCAGGAAGTTACAATATTAAACCTAGAACATTTTATACATTGAAAACTCATCAAGGCATCTAGTCAACCCTCTAATGAGATTTCCTTTCTCTAAATCTGAGATACTTAGATAGATTCAAGTACAAGTGATCTGTCTTCGCTTAGTCATTTTCTCCAAATTCTCAGAAACTGCTGCAGTCAAATTTGGATCTTCAAATCCAAGCTCTGCGCCGAATCTGCACCAGAAGAACCAAAAGGCCTTAAATATTTACAGAAGGAAAAACAAAGACTGGAAGGTTGGAGTGGTGAATGTACAGAGCTTGATGCCACTGGAACACAATGCAAGTGGCCAAAGTTCTTTTTTATAGTTATCTTTTTCCTAATAGAAATTGAAGGAACAAGAATGCTGAAATACAAACAATAAGAAGAATATGATGTTTGATTTGCTTACTTTGGATCAAGTACCAATTTCTGAATCTCCTTAATAGCTGAACTTGCCGCATAAAGTGATATCTTTCCTACCTGCGTTAGAACCCAATCAAATATTCAGAATAATACGAACAAATTAAAGAAGTCCTAGATTAGGCCATTAGACAAGATGGGAGCACAACATTTCCAGAATTAATAGAATATAATAAAGAAAAAGAAGGAAGGCACGGAATACTTCTAAGTAAAATTTCCCTTGTCCAACCTCCAACACTTGCAGCTTTGCTTCATGGTCATTTGGAAGACAGCGGATTTCATCAGCTAGTCTTACAGCCTCACTGAGGCTTTCAGGAGATAAGAAATCAAGACCCAGCTGAACAGTTGACTGAAAAAGATAAATGCATAAAGATTAAATGAATTTTATAGATTACAATGGTAGCCCCCACACAAGAAATAATACTAACCCAAGATTTGAATAAATTACTCTGTCAAGTTAATCTGAACCCTTCACATTTTCATTGGAATTTCCGAAATTTTCACTTCAAAAATATTAATTTAGCCACAAAGCAAACTACCTGAAGATTCCTGACTTGAAAAGGGCATCCAGCAGGGATAAAAACAGCTTGCCCCAAATGCTGTTCAAAGGACCATGGCTCAATTCCTGATATTAAAAAGAAAAAGAAAAAAAAAAGCTCAGACTTAACCTGAATGCTGAAAAGTCTCAACTGAGTAGTACAGAAGATGGAGGCTAGATCGTTTATTCAAAAAGCTAGATTCCCGATACACAACTACAACTTTGCTTATAGACATTTTAGGAGTCCTGCTAATTAAACCAAAATGGTACACTAGAAATTGGCACAGTGGATAGCTACTAGCATAACTATCACCCTAACATTTTTCCTAGGGATCATCTCAGTGGAAAATGTGAGTAGGAGTTCTAAAGATCAAAAATAATTTCTTAGAAAATAAGGAGGTGGGGGGAAAGAGGAATGTGAATTGGAGTCAGGCTACTCAGACCATTTTCTCCACACAAGATAATTAAGAGGAAAATGTTAGTCATCCTTACCAAATTCTTCCTTCAGTTTTCTTTTATGATACCCATTCAGGAACAATGTTCCATCATAAAGGGGCCACGTTACCTGAAATCCAAAATGTAGGATCAGCTATGAGCATGAAATGTGAGCCAACTATGTTGATTCAATTGAGGAAAGGTAGGTAATGATATTTATGAGATAAACTTACAAAATTATCTGTTTCACTGTTGAGCTTCCCGAATTCTTTCCAATGCATTCTCAGATACTCAGTCAACTTTGGAACATCCTTTCGACGGAAAACATCCCAAAGAACTCCCATATGAGTTTTTTCAGAGACATCTCCACCCTCTCTTTCTGACAGTTCACAACTTCTGGTGTCCCCTTCAACAGTTGGAGTAGTTTCATGCCCATGATCTGCCACACTCTCATCTTTATCTGTATCCGACCTTGCCCCATAATCATTCTCAACACTCTGACTAAGAAGTGATAGATCAGGATTCATATCTTCTCCCAAACCCATTTTCAGATCCCCAGGTGATTCTTTAACTTCAGATTCCTCCAAGGATTTTTGTGTGCTCTCAATCTTTGTCTTCTGCAAACCTTTTGGCTTCACCTCACATGCATGCACCAGCAGATATACCTGACCATAGCAGCTCAACAGGTGAAGATCTATTTATTTGATACAGATGAAATATTAGTTCATGAAACATGGAAACCAAATATTCATCTACGATTCCATAACAAAACGTTCCAACTCCAAAGATGCAAAATTGATAAGTTTAATCCTTAATATAATGTTGCACCTAAAATTATCCACAAATTGCATACTATTTTGGTAAAAGTTCTGACATGGATACACATAGTATAAGAGAGAAAAAATGCATTTCACTCTATGTGTTGGACATATTAAATCGTCTTACATCAAAATAATGATTACAAACCAGTCATGATTGCTAAGCAAAAACAAGAGGGTAACTACAATTGACTAAGCAATTCTCAACTATCAACATCAATGACCAGAAATCAACAAGAACAGAGAACAACTAACCATGTCACGCATATTGAAATGGAGATTGGTCACGGAGTTGCCTCCACTAAGTTCCTCATAGGTCCCATAAGACATAAAAATCTTAGGTCCAACATCATTTTGCAGAGAATAGTGTGGCAATTTTGCAGCAACATTTAAAAGACCAAACTTGGAGTGAATATACTCAAGTAAAGGCAGTTTGCTGATAAATTCAGGTCTTTGATATAATAAGAACTCTTCAGATGCGCTGGGAGAAGGCCAGTCCTTTAATTTCAACATTTCTGGGCAACCATTTTCATTAATTCGTCCCCTGGAGTACCCTTTGATGAACTGACCAAGTTCAACATCGACCTGCCATCATGTCAAACCACAGAGGTATATTTTAGGAT